TTGTGAAAAAGGTCTATTACAACTGTGTCATCATAGCCCCAGAGAACAAATATTTCAATCGACAGTTCAGGCATCTAAGTGGCACCGAAATTCGCGTTTTGTTTCGGTCCGGTACATACCGGTTATATAGGTACCGGTGCCGTATTGGCACCGGTTTTCGGTACCCAACCCTAGTTTTAACCGGATAATTGATCCTCACGATTTTATTGAACGCATGCCCAAACAAGTCTCATTGTGTCCACCGTGCCACATCATCCCCTAAAATAAGAAATGTTGTATACATAATGGAAATACCGAATACCTATATCAGTATGCATTAATTTTGTTTTATATCCATTAGCTGAGCAGTTGTCCACAATTCGTTAATATTACCCGCTGCAATTTATGGAGATTTGTGGGTTAACAGACAACCATACTCGAGTTGTTTACTGTCCGTGTAGCTATACTTTTACTTTTATTTTCGATATGAGTGTTTTGGTCATATGTAATGAACAATTGCATGGTAGCTAGCTAGCCTATGATAATGTTAACCCGGTGCATGATTTATGAAATCTTCCTTTATATGTTTCATTTTAATGTTTTATTTTTGATTAGAATACATCAAAGTGCATTGTTAGGTTGCTAAGAATATATCTATTGCACTTTTGGAACGTTAACTGCCACAGTTAATATCAACAATGATCAATGAGCAAAGGTAAGTTAAGAGAGATACTACACTTGGGACGTTTAAAATAAGCATTATGGTCGTGTGTTTTGGCTTTCTTGAACTGCTCTAGGGGAGACTTTGTATGACATATTTATACGTAACATAATTATCGAGTCTGAGAAGAAGTAGAACGAATACATTTAAAAAAGAAAGTGAAACTGGCGCTAAAATCATCGCGCATTCAAAGTATTTTTCGAAAGTATAACTTGTCTGCATTCACTTTCGTGCATATTTATCGTTCATATTTATTACTGACATATCTGGACTAATAGCAGAATTTTTGGTGTTTGTGAGAACCTAAAATTTGACAGTTCCTTGCTCAGAGATTTCATTTAGTTAAGTGGTAATGTGTGTGTTGTGCCTCTAGGGTGCACTGAAATAGAATAGCATGTGTTTATTCCGGATGTAATGGGACGCAATAAGAAATGCTACTAAATACGTATGCATGACATCCTTGCTTTCATGTTAAGTTTCACTAAAAATAAAATGTTTATCTGCATAATTGTGCTGATGACTAGTTTGTACCTCAGCATTAAGGAATAATGGATCATTTTCATTCAGCATTCTACCAGTTATCCAGTACAGGGCTGTGTAGGTGGTTTGGAGCAATCAGGGCCTTTTGCACAAAGACCCAACAGTGACATCATTCCATTGGCTATGGGATGTGAACCAACAACCTTCATGACTACAAAGTCTTAATTCAAAGAGCGATACACTGTCCCCTAAAGGCTTGGAGAATGTGGGAATTCCTCACATAAATACATAGATACAGTTCTGGGTTTTTCCACTTTTGTGGTATCCATGTGAAATAAACGTTGAAGAAGAGATGCTGATGTGAATGTGGGTATGCCACCTTGGAGAAAGTTCAATACATGGAAGCTTTGTTTACAATTGACAGTTTCATTAGTGATGAGACACACAAGCATACTTTCCAGACGTATTTGGATATATTATCTTTCTGACACTTTACAAATTTCTCTTTAAAATATAATTTTTATCTCAGCAGAACCTTGCACATGAAGACCACAGCAGAGTTCACTGAGGAGGAAAAGCTATGGCTGATGGAAATAGCCTCTGAGGTAGCCCTTTGTAAGACGGGAGCTAAAGTCAGATGATGACCTCACTTACTCAGTTTCTTTTTCCCAGTTGTTTTTTAAGATTGAGTTTTCACTCATTCCCAGATGAAGATGTTCCTTTACATCTGTCATATAGGTTGCCAGGAGTAACAGCTCCACATTATCGGTATATCTAACAGCTATAGCAGATTTCCATTCATCAACCCATCATCCAAACTCTTAATCAAATACAGATCACAGGGGCCTTAGGTTACACCTCAAATTGTATGAGTGTGTGCATATGTGTGTCCTGTGATGGAGTTCATCCTGTCCAGGGTGTATCCCTTCCTTGTGTGTCTAGAATAGTTTTGAAGTCTCTAATTGTGTAACATAAAGAATAGCATGTACAAATTCCCCTCACTTTACAATAGTTTGATTTACAATGTTTCAACTTTATGAGATAGTGATGCACATTCAGTAGTCAACTTTTAATCTATTCCTGGGCTATCAATATGTCGTACAATACATTCCACTGATGCCCGGTGATGAGACCATCCACCAACCCATGCATCCAGGCCATCTAGCGATCACACAGCATTTTGTATGGTATTTCTTTCTATTTAACCAAATAAACTTGCATTAATTTATTTAGTTTTCAATTACTGGTATTTATTTACTGACACTAATTCTTTATTTACTTATTGAGTGACGGTAGTTATTTGATTACTTAGTAATCATATTCATATTTGACTTGCGATATTTTCCACTTATGATGGATTGATTGGAACATAACTTCATTATAAGTCGAGGAGCATCAGTGTCCCTATAATAAGTTATTGCCATATTAACGGAGGAAACTTAAGATCACTGCATAGTTCTGGTTTTTACTAGTTTTTAGTAAAACTAGTATTTATTGTTTCATTGATTCATCTACATACTTAATTTATAGTCCCTTTTTAAAATTATTTTCAGCTATGTCATAAAAGCATGTGCTTTTCACATATTTGCCTATTTGTTTATTAAGGAACATTACATAACATAATAGAAAATAAGCTCTTTTTTTCCATAGGTTCCTAAGAGTAGTGAACTAACACCACTTGAGCAGCATTTCCGTGACCTAGCAAGACCAAGGGATGAGCTTGAGGTGTGCCTGTTTGAGCTGATGGCCAATGAGAAGTTTGGGATACAGCATCACTTCATCTATACAAAACGTACAACCAAAAACCTGGGGATGGAACAGCATAGATCGGACAGACAGAGCCCCAGATAAGTAACATTATCATATAATTTGCCAAAATTTACCTCATGGACATTGCCGTGGACTGTTTTGTAGGTAATGCTTGAACAAATAGCAGACTTAAAGGAAAAGGGAGAATGGGAAGCGGGGATTCATCCATTTTGTTCCACAGTAAACATACGTACCTTCATGTTTTCATGTCAAAGCAACCAATTTACAGGTGAATTTGTGAGATCCCTTTGAAGAAGCCTGTTAGAGGTTATAAATAAGTTTGAAAAGCAATGTGAGGAGGTTTTGCTGCCAGATAATCAGTGAGCTGACAGAGGGGGTGGGGGTGTCATTTCCTTTGAAATTGAAATATATTAGAAGCTCAGCTTTTATAAGCATCAACAGCGCTCATTTCTTGCGATATCTCAAGACTGACCGTAAAGCAGGGGTCTCCAACTCCGGTCCTGGAGAGCTACTATCCAGTAGGTTTTCTGTCCCACTTTGCTTCTGATGAGCCGCACCCGGCCCTGGTATTTACCTGAGAACAGGTGTGGCTCATCAGAAGCCAGGTAAGATTGAAAACCGACTGGATAGTAGCCCTCCAGGACCGGAGTTGGAGACCCCTGCCGTAAAGGGATTATGATATGTGAGCCGAATGTACATTGCTTATAGCATCCATGGGGTTCCCTAATGGTCCTGCATTTGCTGGGGGAAGCCGCCA